TAACTATCCAAAAAAAAACCCAAACAGAAAAATCAAAGGTGGATGCCGACTGATTCAGAGAAAATAAGGAGTTCATGACTGAAATAATAACTAAATAGGACACCTAGGAACACAGCTGGGCGGGAAAAGGATGCCTTCCCCACATAGCTGTTCTGCAAGGGCTCTCCTCAAGGTGAAAGTGGGCACAGCTGGGTGTGAGCGACTCCGTGCCTTGAGCTAAGGATTAAACTGGAAATTCCCTCTAATGATTGGAGTCCATTTAGCAATTAGGTTATTACAGATAACTCCCCCTGCTCCAATTCTGCACTCACCAAGCAACCTGTTGGTAATAAATTGCTTTCCCACAGAAGCCTTCAGGGAAAGAACACACCAGCCATGCTAAAGTGAACATCTGGTCCTTTCGGCGGTTGTTTTACACATTTTAAACTAATAAATTGTCATTCTTGCTATGTGTCATACATGTCCTATACTAGTGTTTGTCTGCCTCAGAAAGATATATCTGTTTCTGGTGTTCTATTAAAGTGCTGTCCAAACTCCACAAGACAAAAGGTCTTATCTGGCCATAGGCTGCCAAGCTGTTTGGGGCTAGGAGGCAGGGGGGTTAGAAGCTTGTCCTCTGATGTCTGGAACTCCTGCTTTCCTCCTGTATAGAGGGAAAGCTTCCTCCTGTATAGAGAGAGTCCCTGACAATAGAACCTAAGGCGAATCTCTGTAAGTCTTGGTACTTACTGACCAACCTAGATAAGCTAAAGAAATAGACATTGCTTTGAGCAGCCTGTATTCCTAAGATTCAATCTCTGATTCTATAACATGTAATGGCTTCCTTCAGCTATTGCATTGTTAACAGCGAAGCTCTCCACAGATGAGTGCCCCTCCCACTTCCTCCTCTCCAGCCGACACCCCCCCATTCCCCTCCTCTCTTCTTACACTTCTCTCAATCTCCTCTACTTGTTCCCTAGGTTTTCTTCCTATTGCTCCTTAGGTTGTTTGCTTTCCCAGATGTGTGCTTGGGTGAACCTTGGAACCCCACCTGCAAAAGCAGTAAGGCCTGAAGTTGGAAGACTAGGAGGATGTGTGAAGGAGCCTGTTCTTCCTCAATCTCTGGCTCTTGTTTCCCTCAGGCCTCAGGCTCCTGGAGCTGAGAAGGCAAAACTGTCATAGATCCTGTTTCCCATGGATATGGAGACCTGGCCAACAGGCTATAGTCAGTTTTGTCTGCCAGCTCAAGGGCAGGCCCTTAGAGCCTCTAAGACTCTGAACAAGGGAGATCCTAATGAATCTTAACCACGGGAAATGAAACCAGAAAGAGAGAGGGGGGAAACCCAGGCTTCTGCCCTGCATGAGTTCAGCTGAGTGTGAGAGAGGGCAGAAGGTATAAATGATGTATCCATCTCCTTCGGTTTCAGTGGCAGCTATCTACAATCATGGAGCACATAGATTTCACACAGTGTACAAACATAGAAGTCAATCTCTCTCTCTCTCTCTCTCTCTCACTCACTCACTCACTCTCTCTTTCTCTCTCTCTCTCTCTCTCTCTCTCTCTCTCTCTCTGTGTGTGTGTGTGTGTGTGTGTGTGTGTGTGTGTGTGTGTGTGAAGTGATGGCTAATGCAACCAAATGTATAAGTGAGTAACTGTCTAATCCTGTCTAATCACCATGCTTCAACATTAAGTTATTCTCTTATATAACGTTTATCACTATTTTTTGTCTCCATCACCTCTGTATTCTCTATTCCCAAGATCCTCCTGTGTTCTTTTCCCCAGTCTGTGAGATTCTAAAGGAATTCATCCTTGTCTCTCTCCTGACCAGACCGTGCTGATGGCCCATGTTCACAGATGGAGGAAGGAAAACTGGAGTTAGAGGTTAGCAGGATCAAATGCGGGGAGCCAGACTCCAAATCGGGAACCGGTAAGGGGAAGGAAGATGACAGAGGCAGGGAGGCTTGTCTGGAAGAGAGAGGAGGAGCAGGAAAGCAGTGCAGAGAAAGACAGCAGGACAGGCTAGGAGAGGAAGGAAGAGAAGAGAGCCGGGGGAGAACATAGGCAGAGGGTGAACAACAGGAGAAAGAGAGGATTTAATGTTTTATGGTTTCATAATGGCTTCATGCTTAATATAATATAAACAGACCTCTCAGTGAACTGATATAACACATACACACATACATACACACACATACACACACACACACACACACACACACACACACACACACACATACACACACACTGGGTCCAAGGCTAAGCCCTCAGCTTGTGTTTTCTCATTCAGTCTTCACCAGAATGCTAAAGAATGAGCCATCATTGTCCCCATTTTATAGACGAAACAACACAGTATTGCAACGGTCAAGAACCTGTGATTAACCCCGCCAGTAACAGAGACAGGGACGGTCTATAAGAACGGAATGACTAAACTCTGCATACATAGCCATTGTTATTATTCTCTAAGTCTCCTTACAGAAATACAGCCTGCTGTATACATTCTTATTCATTTTTAATTTTTTTTTTAATTTTGTGTGTGAGTATGCCTATGGATATATGCATGTGCGCCCCATACATGCTTGGTATCAGAGGAAGCCAGAAAAGGGAATCAGATTCCCTAGAATTGGAATTTCAGATGGTTGTAAGCTGCCCTGTGGGTGTTGGGAACTGAACCTGGGTCCTCTTCACCTGTCCAGCCCATGCCCAAGTGTTTAAAAGATTACTGTCACAGCACAGACCACAGGGAAAGAGTTTTGAGGACAATGACCAGGATAAAGCAGAGCTACATGCAGTCTCTGTGGCTAACTTGCCACTGTCTACATGGCATCCTTATGATGAGGTCAGAACCAAGAATACCCGGTGATGACTAGGCCTAGGTATTTGAACACTAAGAGGATAGATATGACATTGACTATGACGACAGTGGTCAAGGAAGGGGAGGACATGGAACAGCAGTGTCCATGAAAAGGACAGTGATAAATCCAATCTGATTACATTAGCCTCTTGATCATCTTCAAAGCAGAAGCATCTTCAAGTAGAACGAACAAATGTGTAGGCATGGAATGGTGGCATGTGAGGGAGAGCTGAAGCCCTGAGAGTGAATGGCCTCATTGAGGAAGAACCAGACGAAAGAGGGGCAAAGGAAGGCCAGGACCTGAGGAGAGTAAGCCAATCTCAGAGCAATGATAGAGCGAAGGGAGGATTCACCCTTTAAAGACTGGTCCAGGAAGGGCCCAGCACAGGAGAGGCACTCAGCAAACCACACTCAACTCAAGAGAGTAAAGAAAAGGGAAAGGGAAGGGGACCACAGTAAGGAAGAAACGTGTTTCTGGAAGAACAGAACACTCGGGACATCTAATGCTCACTTACAAATGTATTTACCAACATGCAAAGTATTTAAGATAACTTGGCAGCTGCTGCTTTCTCCTCTAGCCTTCCAGGGGAGATCCTTAAACAGAACCATTGTGTTACACAGAAGTGTCTGGAATGTACATTTGATTTCAGAAGCTGAGACTACAGGAGAGGGAGGCAGGGAAGAAGGGAGGGAGAGAGGGAGGGAGGGAGAGGAGGAGGGAAGGAATGAGGAAGGGAGGGAGGGAGGGAGGGAGGGAGAGAGGGAAGGAGGGAGGGAAGTTGGGAGGGAGGGAGGACGGGAGGGGGGGAGGGAGG